CCAACTAATTCTGAGATCTTACTGAGTCATTGTTTGTCCCGGTGCTGGGATGAATGTTCCCAACAGTCATAGTGAGAATAAAACAATTGGCTTCTTATGTGTTAATCCTTCATATCGGTCAAATTAATTACTGCCTCACACACAAGTGATGGATAGTGACTAAGTACATTTACTCTACTAAAAAAGTATAGTAAAGTTTTCATTATTTTTACTAGATTTTCATGTTATGCATCTTTATACATTCTAATTTGGCAGTAGCTGTTACTACATACATTTTGGCTTCTGTGGTTGAGACACAATTCCGATGTCTATAGACTATGAGTTGTTAGCAGTTCTATCAAAGAAACTTTTCCCTGCCAAACTTCTCACTGGTATAATTTGAATAATTGTAAAAAAAAAAAAAAGATCCATAATCTAACAAAAAAGCAAAGACTTTTCCAAAAATTAAAATCGATTTGTCTACCTTGTTATACTGAATTTACATACCTATTTAAAGTGTATAAAGTTAAACAAGCTTTACGTCTTATAATCTGCAACCATAACATACCATATATACATACATGCATCAGTATTGATTTAATAATGCAACACACTGGAGAGACTTGAATGTTTCAACATTGTAGTATTGGAACTTTATCTTAAGTAAAGGATTATTTGATTTAAGGGTACCACTTTACAATAAGACTACCCTTATTAAGGATTCATAAAGGGTTTATAATTAGGTTATTAATTAGGTTGTAAACACTTTATTAATCATTAAGAACCATTTATAAACCAGTTCTAACGTAGTTTTCATACATCAACACATGCTCACTATTTTGCAAGATGACTTAGCCTTATATTGGCTACCTACTGTAGCTTACTTCGTCTTCTTCATCAGCCATCATCCTTGGTATCTGTTGTTCACTGAGTTGATTCTCCCCCCATCCATCTTGATGTTTCTTGGCATCTCTTTATGAACATTTATTTATGATTTACTAATATTTATAACTGCCAAAAGGAAGCCTTATTGTAAAGTGTAAAACACATTCCCATTTATTAATGAGTTTCTACCATTTATAATAAGGCTTAGCAGTACAGATAAATGTGGGCTCACTATTTGGCAAGCAACCGGTCACAGTTGCCCTGTTTATCTCATGTCTTATAAAAGCTTATTAATGATTTATAAAGTGTTAACAACCTAATTAATAAATGAATTACAAACTATTTGTAAACCCTTTATAAGGGTAGTCTTATTGTAAAGTGGTAACAATTTAAGTATACTCCAACAAATCAAACACTACTGCTGGGTTAGTGACACACATCTCCATCTAGTGGACAAGAGAACATACAGGGAATTCTCAGGCACTTGAGGTATAGTTTAAACTCATGTAAAAGCAGCTATTTTAAACAGTTGTTGTGTGTTGTTGTGTTAAGTCCTGTTTCTCCTTGTCATACAGCATACTGACAACTGGCTCTTGATCATATGCACATGTTTAACCAGGAAGCTTCCTGAACCAGATGGATCTCTTTGGTTTTTGTTGATATGGTTTTGGGGAGCCCAACAGAATGACCAGAGGAAGTTTGATCTCTGAGTCTCTTGCCAGAGGGATGTCAAGAGTGACCTGCAACCAGAAAATTACTTTTAATTACTTGAATTTGTCTCTGTACTGTATCTTTTTCCCTTCTTTTCATTGCGCAGTGGGCATTTCTTGCTCTAGATCTCGGTCACAACATTAAAGTTTATTCTAAATACCTAAACATTTAAGGAGGAAAGATGACACTGTGTCCTATACAGCATGTACCCATCATCAGTGTGTGACAAGCCATATAATCCTCCCTCTTTCGTTCCCCGTTTCTCCCCCTCATTCAGCCACTGTGTGGTGCTATTGACATTATGCCTTTTCTTAGCAGATGTGTATTTAGAACCACTGTAAATCCAAGTAGAGTGTTTTTTATTTGACAGATGACACAATTGTAATACCTTGAGTCTGTACTCGAGTTTCATCAGGCAGCAGTTGAAGAAGGTAGGGTGGAGCTGTGGAGGGATACTCAAAACTTTGGTTATAGTCAAAGTGCTTTCCGCCGGAACAGCGTCTCCTTTCGTAAAGAGGACCTCATTTGTGTGCACTACTCTCTTTGTCTGAGCAACAAAGGTTTGCTTTTCACTCAGGTAGAATTTGGGTGTTACCGCATGTGCAGAGTCATTGAGTACCTCTACAGAGATTCCAATTGCGTCACCTGAATTTGGGAGCAACAATACATCATTAATATTTTAGTAAAGGCCATTCAACGAATATATTCTTTATAAAGTCTATTTACCTTGCTTTACTCCCATTTTTTCTGAAATTACATTCACAGTAACCTTTGAGGAGCCATAAAATGATATCCTGGTTGCATATTGTTGTTCCTACAAAGGAAGCACATACTCTGTCAGGAAATTAATCGTAAACTTAAATAGGAACTCACAGAAAACCTGAAGTCAAATGAAAAGCAATTCCAAACCTTTAGTCCGATGATTATCATATCTGATTTGGAGGCAAAGGGAAACTCAGACTTGGTCAGAAAAGGGACCTCAGTCTTAGTTTTGTAGACAAGCCAGATGGACTGAGTCAGCTTTGCTCGCAAACTGTATGTAATGGTGCCCCATTTCCCCTTGTAAGATGAAGGCATATCTCTGTAGGGGAAAACATCCAAATACATATTATAGGAGAACATTTATTTAACCAGCTTGTACAACGTTTTTACTATAGATATAAATATTCCATGCAAAGTGTTAGCTTAAATTAGCACACCTACATATTTGGAATCACAAAGGTGAATGGATACACATTTCTCCCATGGCGGATGATTTCTGAACCTTAGAAAAAAAGAAGGTTTTTAAGATGCAAATTCATTAATTGCTTAACAGACTCTAACAGACAGTATACATCAATTCAAAAGGTATTTCCTCCATTTTGCCCAATAGAGAGAACATACTAACCATCTCCTTTGTTTTTATCCTGAAGAATAATATGTTCAAAATAGAAGTATTTCTTCTTGTCGCTGTGCGTCCCTGTGGCTTGTCCTTCTTGGTCCTGCCATGTCACCTTAGCTTTTCCTTTGGCTTTGACCAATAAGCTCTGCACTTTGGTTTCCTTGCTGGTCTCAACCGTCACCCTGCCAGAGAGGATGTCCCCGGGAGAGAAGGTACCTCGTTCATTCACTTTTTTGTAATCCACCGAGAGATGCTTTACAGTCATGATAGGGCTGCATCAAATAATCATCCCAAAAGTAATGGTGTTAAAGTATGACAACGATCCTCCTTTTTGTACAAAATGACTCCTGTGAATGCACTGGAAGCAGGTCTGAATTGAAGTGAGGCCTGTTGTTGATGAATAAGGATCACCTGGTGTACGCACTGTAGCAGTGGATCTCCTGAAGCTGTATCTGTGTCAGACATGATCACGTGATCAAGAGCTGCAGGTGTCACTTTCACACAGGTAACTCTAGCCACCAGACTTGGAGCCTAAAGTTGGCCAAATTAATACAGATGACATTAAAGAGGACATATTATGCTTATTTTGAGGTTCATATTTGTATTTTGAGACTCTACTGTGACATGTCTCCATGCTTTAATGTCCAAAAGGTGCTTTATTTTTCTCATACTGCCTGTGCTGCAGCACCTCTTTTCACCCTCTGTCTGAAACCAGAGCCCAGTCTGCTCTGATTGGTTAGCTGTCCGGCTCTGTTGTGATTAGTCAACCGCTTAGAGATGTCCCGCCCCTTAGTCTATTGCTTACAATGGGTTGGAGCTAGCCAATAGAAGGGCAAATGTTACATAGTGATGTCACTATGTAACAGAAGTAAACAAAGGAGTGGAGGCGTTTCAGGCAGGGGGGGGGGGGGGGGGGGGGTCGTGTGTGTGAGAGAGAACTCTCTGGCGTGAACTTTGTAGACCATTTAAATGCACAAATACCTATGTAACACACGACAGGAAAAGGAACACCCCAAAGAGCATAATTGGGCCTCTTGAACATTAAGGAAATATACAGGGGCATTCAGAGGATCTGTATTTTCTGTATTGTTTAAGTTATGCTAAGGGTGGCTTTCTTACTAGAAGATGTTTTGCATAAAATAATCACAACCAACAGTTTTACTAGATTTAACCAATGAGAAATCTAGAAAAATGTCCATGCAAAGTGTTAGCTTAAATTAGCACACCCACATATTTGGAATCACAAAGGTGAATGGATACACATTTCTCCCATGGCGGATGATTTATTAACCTTAAAAAAAAGAAGGTTTTTAAGATGCAAATTCATTAATTGTTTAACAGACTCTAACAGACAGTATACATCAATTCAAAAGGTATTTCCTCCATTTGCCCAATAGAGAGAACATACTAACCATCTCCTTTGTTTTTATCCTGAAGAATAATATGTTCAAAATAAAAGTATTTCTTCTTGTCGCTGTGGCTTGTCTTCTTGGTCCTGCCATGTCACCTTAGCTTTTCCTTTGCTAAGGGTGGCTTGCTTACTAGAAGATGTTTTGCATAAAATAATCACAACCAACAGTTTTACTAGATTTAACCAATGAGAAATCTAGAAAAATCCTTAACAGTTTAAGGGTGAACAGATTCAGTGTCAGCACACCTTCCACAGCCTTTCCATTGACCGTGTATGTAGCAGTTCAAGGTGGAGGGCAGTTCATCTCTAGGGATGTTGGCCAGTCTGTTTGCTAAAAGACGCCACAGGCTAATATTCTCCTTGTATTACTGTACTGTAAGTGAGTTGACATGTTAAAAGTTGTGGAAAGCAGGAATGATAGAATTATCAGTAGGTAGAAAATAGATTATTCAAATCTTTGGCCCAAGAAACTGCAATACAGAGCCAAATTGTTTACAAAAAGCATCTGAATAACAATTCAAACACATACGTTCTGCTGTTAGTGTGTTAGGCTTTCTGTTCTCGCACTGAAATCAATAAAACTATTATTGAAATATAAGTTGCAGTTAAGGCGTCTTTACTGTTGCCAATGTATATAGGTATAAATAGTATAAATACCACTTTATTGCTTAAGGTAAACAAATACATTTGTGAGATAACATTTTATGAATCATGTTGAATTTCCCGTCTGATTGAAGACTGTACAAAGTTGTTGTACTGTATGTTCAGTATTTACATAACACTCAAATTATGATAAATTTACAAACAAATCACAATAAAATAGACACACAAAATGTGGCATCAACATGAATGGAAACTGACAAATAATCTTATTGTCACTGGAATAAGCAGTTTGATGTCAAGAAGCCTTGATACCACAACATCTCCAAACAAATGTATGATGCTTGAGCCAATAATAAAGGAGGTATTTGTGGTAAACAAAGACAATATCATTTATTCTTCTGTATCTAATGTTGATACTGTATTTAACAGTCGATCATGACAATATTATAGAAGTTCAATGCCGAATTGTTGCCGTATTTACTTTCCAGTCCAGTATTGGTTAGCGGGGTACATTGCATGTGCTGCATAGGGAGGTGGAGGATCCATAGCGCTGGCGGCTGCTGCTGGTTGGTGTGGTGCCGGGCTCCAGGGGGCTTGTTCTGGGTTCCCAAATACATCAAACCCAAAGCCAGCATCAGAAGGTTGTTGTTGTTTAGGATTATCCTCAGAGGCAGGTAGGATCACTATAGGGAGTGTGATCTCTGGGTCTGAAGCATATTTGACATCTAGATGGACCTGTGAAAACAAATGTTGATATTATATAGTAATCATATTTTGTTTCTACTTCTGTTTCTTTACATCATGTGCCCATAACCAACTCTCTTGGCAAACACCATGAACAATGCAACAAGTCCTCCAACTCATACGACCAAATAGGTCGTGTTCAAGCCCTTATTACGACCTATAATCACCCTCTGGAGGGTCGTATATTCACAAATAACCCTCTCTGGAAAATCCTAAATTGTAGGATAGTTTGGCCTTTCATGCATGAATTATGAAAACCTCAGTCAGGATTTTTTTACCAAGTGTTTTTATTGCTCTTGGTGCATGAAAAACAAGATTTTAACTTTAGTTTTTTATCTAGTTTTTTTAAATAAAAAATAAAAATGTTTTATATGTCCACTCAGGTGGACAGTAAGCTATGCGTTAAAGCTTGAACTGAAGACATGTACATTTGGAAAAAATGATAAATAAAGATGTGCAAACTTAAAATTATATTATATTAAAATAAGTATATTGATTTAAGGCCCAAAAAGATATTTCAAACAAAGTATTTTCACGAAGAACAGTAGCAGTAACAGTATGAATTGTAGTTGAAATATAGCCAGTGATGCATGACGTCCACTTTAGTGGACAGATGATTAATCATAATTTCCTGCAAACATAAAATCAATACTTTGACAATTTATGAATTATATGATTCCTTAGTTGTTACTTGATGTCACCAAATGTTTTATACCTGCAGGGGGCACTTTCCATAAAAGGATTGGCAAGATATCGACGAGTGATTCGGTCCATCTGGCTTTCTGTCGTCCATCTTGGTTTACACTACACCATAACGGTGCACAGCTGATAGAAAAGGACTTGTAGTTTTTAAAGATATTACTGATTTTCTTTGCATTAAAGAATGTAAATACTGAGTTGAGAGAATAGTCAGGGGTTTTGGGTGATGGGAGACACATCTATGGATTCAGAATTTCAATAGCTTACCATTAAATTACGGATATACCTTTCTGTCTGTGATGTTTTACAAATCAGATATTAATGTGTAGAACTACAATATGTGAAATATTATAGCAATATCCTGTACAATTATGTGAAAACATGAATAAAACTACACATCTTCAGATGTTATACATACATAAGTGTCCTACACTAATAATACAAAGTTATTATGGCAATGTATGCTGTGTGTTATTTGTAACATCTTCAGAAACTACCTTTCCAACTCCTCATGCAGTTGACTATTATAGGTCTATACAGGTTCATGGTACAATGCATAAGCTTCAAATCGAGAGACTGAAACTGTATTTTTCTTTACCGTTCTGTTTTAATTTCACAATAAAGTTAATAGTAATATTATGTTTGATATTATTATGTTTTATTAACTAGACCACTGGGTCATGTTTGGTGTTACAAATATCAAAACAATATATTTGTGGATAACAAAATGCCTTGTGGTTAAAGCACGTTATTGAATTTTGTTGTTGAATAAGTTATATTTGATGAACACATTTAAATATTAAAGGAGAGGTGTCATGGCCATTTCCACTGATCATAATTCCATTGTTGAGGTCTACTAGAATAGATTTATATTGTGCATTTTTCCAAACTCACATTGGTTTCTCATACAGCATCTCTGTAAACTACTTGTATTCACTGAATTTCACTCTCTGCCTTTAACGGCTCGTTGTAGCTCCAAAAGCTCCAGCCCCCACCCTCCTTGTGAGCACAGTGTGCTCTGATTGGTCGGGACGTTGTGAATCGCGCTGAGCTCCGTGGAGGTGTTGTTTCCTTGTTTAGCATACATAGCGAAACACAGCCAAACTGATCCTGAGCACACACACACTCACATCCGAAGTAAAAACAATAAGTGTGGCTTGATATTGAGTAAGAAAAAGGTTGATAAACGCTGTGAGAATGGGTCTGCAGAGAGAATTTTGCCGCAATCCCAACTGTCTGTTATCAGCCTGCAGCCAGGGAGGAGAAATCAGCTGAGCTGCCTGCTTACAGTATTCCTTTGCTTTGTAACTACAGATCACCTCTGTGTTAGTGTAATGTATCACTCTCTGGAGTTTGTTAAATGTATAAGTGTTCAGTGTTTCCTTTGTCTGATATGTTGATGTGTGTTCTGCCATATTTATTTTAGTATCTACTGGTTTACAGCCAGTGAAGAAAAGGGTCCACTTTGTCCATTTGTATATTATATATCATGGGAAAGCAGACATTTTAAGTTTTTTCCTGTTGTAAATCACTGGAACTATTTAATTTGTATGTCACAGAGGGCCGAGAAAATGAAAACTCATGCGCTTACCAAAAGTTAAAAAAACAACACAGATGAAAACAGACACATGGAAAAGCCCTACACGCTGAGTAGCTATTGTTACAAAGCACCATATGAACAAGAGAAGGGCTCAGAAAGAGGAGATTACAACCCACAAAGTATCTTTTGACCAGCATAGAGTTTAGTTTACCTTCAGCCTGTACTCCAGCTTGATGATGCTGCAGTTTAAGATGGAGCTAGGTAACTCTCTGGGGATGTTCATCACCTTGACCACAGTCTCTTTGTTAGAGGATGAGACAGCCTCCATCTTCTCCTTAAGGATCTCCTTTGTGGAAACTCTCCTGCTACCCTGGGCGAAGAAGCTCTTCTTCTCATACAGGATGACTTTAGCCTTCACTGAACGACTTGAGTTGTTGACGATTTCAACTGAGACTTTGAGATCTCTACCTGTAAAAACGAGAAATTAAAGCTATTTTAATTATAAAACCAATTAGTAGTCAGAGAATGGTTTAATAATGTAAGAGTAACTTAACACCAGGCTTTACAGCGATGCTATAATGTACATGCCGTGGAATATCTTTCTGCATCACATTAACAAAGTAAAGAACAACTGGAATAAAAACAAGATTTCTAGCTGCTGCTAAGTCTCTTATAAAACAACAGGACAAATAAAAAAATCTTGAACTCATTCAATAAGGAGCTTTCATTGTGAAACTATTGCTATATGATCACACATAGACCCATTCCAAGGTAACCTGAATATTATACAACCAAATACATATAAAAATGGCACAAACATTACTGCTAATGTGATAAATTGCCCAGGAAATATGTATTGCAAATATGACGTTTTTGTGGACATATGAACCAGTAACAAAAACTTGAAGAAAAGCCAAACTAGCTTTGAGGTCATTTAGAAAAAAATGAAAATAAATATGCAGCTTTTAATAGTGATTCTTGTGCAAAGGGGTACATTTTCCAAGACATTCCCCAAACTGAAAATAAGACTTGTGAAAGTCAAAAGAGCCACAATCCCTTCCCATAATCCGATAGAGTCCCTAAAGGTTCAGCTTCATCAACTTCACTTGGCTGGAAAGGCTATATTGTTGAATGCTGGTTTAACCTTTACTTGCACAGAGGCAAAAGCTTGTAAGACCTGTTGTGTCCCTCTTACACACTTGACAACGTTTGTGCACTTCCTTTATGCCATTATGAAACTGTTGCAGCATAAAGTCATTTCAAAGTTGAACGAAACAACAGTTTGTATCAACAGTCAGTCAACAAATACCTACTATTCAAAACATGATGTGTAGTTAAGGAAAGGCAGTGAATTTCTACCAGACTAGATTGTTACCTTGTTTGTATCCCATTCGCTTGGTCTGAACATCCATTGAAATAATTCCAGAGCCAAATACCTTGACAGATTTGTCCTTGCTACCATACTGAGGTTCCTAAAAAATCAAACCCAAACCTCAGTTAGATCAATTTGGCTCAGACATTTGTCAATAAATGTGCAGGTTTATAGACTAATGATTTCTTACCAGAAGTCCAGGAATATCCATGTCTGCTTTTGACACAAATGTGAAGTGGCTTTTGGCCTTTTTTGTCAGCTTCATTGATTGTTTGAGCTCTGCCTTCAATTTATGATGAATGTTGCCAATGCCAGATTTGAAAGATGATGGGATTTTGCTGTCAAGTACAATACAATAAAATGTAATGACCTGTAAAGAAGATGACGATATAAAACATACATTTAAAAAAAATGTGAAGTAAAGATGACTCACCTGTCAGGAATCTTGAAGGCAAAAGGAAATACATGTCTCCCTTTACCGATAACTTCAGTGCCTGGAAGAGAATTACTTATTAGTAAGTCTTTGCATTAGCTACAATGTACAACATATCAATGATTGTATTAATTTAACACGTTACCATCTTGTCTTGACTCTCTCAAGATATGATGTTTGATATCATAATATTGCTCATCAGCCCAGTACACATGATGTTGATGTTGCCCGTAATATTCACTCCAGCGGACCTGAGCTTTTCCTTTTGCCACAAAAATTAGAGACTGGATTTTGGTTTCCTTAGAAACCTCCACAATGATTCTCCCATTGATGGAATCTCCATTTGTAAAGGTGTTTCTGCTGTTGATGGCATCATATTCTATTGCAAAGTTGTTGATGGTCATTTTTTACAAAGAACAAACAGTAGAAAATCCAAATCTCCTGTAAAACCAAGGCTTGTTAACCCTGGCCAGTTGCTTTGCACTGCTTGTAGGTTATCTAAAGCATGCAAATCCTGTTCAACCTGTTTAACTCGGCTGAAAAACACACATGCGCACACAGTGACAGGGAGCATGCAGCGCTGGGAGCATACTCTCATAATTACCATCTGCATTTATGATGCTCACATGATACACTTTCTCAATGTGTCATGACAATGGCCCTTTCTCATTTCTCTAATTCCCCTCCTCGACTCCTATCCTTGTGTCTTAGTCCCGCCCACAAGAGATGCGAGCGGAGGAGTCGAGGAGGGGAACCGAGGAGAGAGGGGGGAAGCAGCAGGCGGTTAGAGAAATGAGAAATCCTCTCCTCTGAGCGGTCATTTTAAAGAGACGTCCATTAATGATGACAGGAGGCACAGCCCTGATGGATAGAACTGTGTTCATGATGACTTATATATTTACTTTTAATTCATTGACAGTGCGGTATAATGAGACAATAACAGGCTACAGATGCGGACATATATACACACACACACATATAGGCCTATATATATATATATAGGAAAATAAATTACAGGCCAAAAGTTTTATTTACAAGTATTAAAAGTAAGCATAGGACACCAAACCAACTGAGACCTGTCTGTCCGCCGCATCTACAAACACACATACACACACTGTACCACACGCACCTACAGCTCCTAAAGCATATCATATCAGGATACAGCCGTTGTGTATTTTATTATGTGAAGCACTCAGTGGCGACTGGTCATTAGGGGCAGGTGGGGCACAGCCCCACCTAGTGTCAGCAGAAAGTATTACAAATAATGATTACAAAAATGCAAAAAAATAAATAAAAAAATATATAAAATATATTTTAAGATCATGTTTAATCATCTGATTCGTCTGTACATTGCTGTTTTAGTCTGTGTTCTTCTAATTAGTGTGTCTACAGTCACAGTGTGTGCCTATTGAGCTGTTTAGAGCCATGTGGGACAAAACCTGATTATGCCCCTTCCTCTCGCTGTGAAGTGAACGTGACTGTAAAAACTACACTGCGCATGCTCAGAGTATTTTGTAATGTAATGTGTGTGGCAAAAAAATAATGACCAGAGGGGCACGGAGCTACCATCCCCACCATACGTCATCTCAAATCATTCAGAGCTGATTGGCTGTAAGTACGTGTGCCGCGAAAAGTGTGCTGTGTGAAGAGGAGACGAGAGAGCTGCAGTGGCGCGTCCTAAAACCAGGAAGTAAGCACAAAAAAGCAATGAGATTTCTCCAGAGGATTTTAGAAAATAGCTCGAAATAAGATCTGTGGGAAACGTACCTGTTAGATAAATGCACGTTTTCATTAGCCGGATAACATCCACATGTCTACCCTACTTTTATAATTTTTTTATCATAAATCTATGGATTAGATTTATGATAGACTTTTGAAACTACAAGAAGATAAGGAGGACTTTTACAAAAAAGTAATAGAAATGTTTGTCCAGAAGGATAGGAAAATGGACTTCATCTTCAAGTCAAGGTAAGACCGCCATTTTATTGAAAATGGGATCTTACTAAGAGAGAACAATTCAATATTTAAATGATAAAATTACATTTTTTGGGTATCCTTTTGTTGAACTGTCTGTTTAAAATTAATCGAAGCATCAGACAAAAAAAGCTTTTGAAAATAATATTATATTTTGGTTTAGGTCAAAATATAATATTTGTAAACCTGAAGAGTCAGTGCCAGTGCCTCACCAGCCATGAACCTCACTGCACGTCACTGCAGAAGCTTATATATAGACATCTAAGTTTTTTGTGCCCCACCACTTTTGTACATATAAAAACGCCACTGGAAGCACTAAATGGTTTGAGACAAATATCGACTCTTTGTTTGTAGATATCTACCAAGCTAAAACATACAAATACAGAGAGTAATGTAGGCCTGTTATACTGAGTGATATATATTTTACACACTGCTCTGCTTTCTGCACGGACCTCACAGCTGTTCTCCCTGTAAACATCGCGTCGCGATGAAAGCAGTTAATAAAAATATCCAGGGGATGCTTGCAGAGCTGTCATTGGCTGAGATAAGTCCGGCCGTGCGTCACGACTCTTTTAAACATCATTGTTGCTGGAAATACATCCGCGGAGGATCCGCGGACTGGCGCGGAGGACCCATCAGTGTATCCTCGATTATAGCTCCTCCAGAGAGCCTCCTCGATGCTCGATCCTCGGTCCTCGAAGTGCATTTAGAGAAATTAGATGTCCTTCAACATGGCGCGCTGAAATCCATTTCCGGGTCACTACCGGAGCACCGAGGATTCAAGGAGTCGAGGAGGGGAAATTAGTGAAATGAGAAAGGGCCATAATGTCCAGTCACGTCAAACAAATTCCATTTTCTTAAAATAGTTCTCTATCTGTGTTTTTACATTTTTGTTTCACTTTTATGTATGCACCATGACATTAAAGAGCCTGTGACAGCCTCCCAACAACTGTTGTGCAATGAAATATTGGGCTACAAGTAATCTCGAACTGTCAGCTTAAAAAAGAAGGTGCAATACCGTTCCGATAAATATCAATAATTTCGAACATCGCGGGGAAATTCCTTCGACTCATTTTGAAGTTTTGGGGGAAGCCAGAAGTGACGTCAATGCGGGAATGCTTCACTGTGCGGCGAGAGAGCCAAACACGGACAAAGTGTGTTGTCATGCGTAGAAATGGTTCGACGATGCATTGTGTGTTGTCCAATACAGCAAATGACGAACTAAACATCAGCATCCAAAGGGTAGAAAGGGAGCAGCAGTGCTTCGCAGAGTGTAAGAAAGTCCAACCTATGGTGAGTGAAATTTGTAATAATGTAATAAACAAAAAGTAAAGACAACATGGTGTGGTTGCCATGCACATTGTATCAGTGACATTCTGTAACATACAACCTTGTAACATTACCAATTCCTTCCTCAGACAGAGATAATTCATTAAGGCATTTGTGCATTTAGTAAGGTTTGCACAGTGATGGGCATGACTATTGTGAAGTGACGCAAGAATCAATTACAAAATTGCAACAGCATGTCTTGAACTATTTCAGCTGTAGAGTCCAAACATATTGCAAAAGCTGGGCAATGGGGCTCTCTAGAAGTGGCTAGTTTTCTGTTTCATTGTGTTTTAATATGCACATGAGTGTACCTTCGATTGTAACAGGAATAATAACCAAAATATGAAGACACTTTTATTTGCACAATATATATACAATATATATATATATCATTTATCACGGAAATTGGCACTTGCAGAATATGCTTGTAAAGGGTCATGTTAGAAAACAATTCACTCACAGATTCATAATCATGAAGGTGGAATCTAACTATATACATAATAAAATGTATTGCAGCCAGGGCTAGAAACGTTTTTTTTCTGCTGTGAAAATGGGCATTTTAACATGGGGGTCTATGGAAATTGCTCCTTTCTGCAGTCCTCGCCTATCGGCCAATATATGAACTGCAGTTTGTGGCACTTCCGTATTGGCGTCCCGGCTCTTCCCCAGAGTTTGCCGCTTGGTTTCAACCTACCTGGTAATAAACCTGTTTCTGATTCTGATTTACTTAACATATCGCACATGCTCTTTGATATTATGAAATACACACACTCCTGAAATATCTTGTATAGAGATTGTGTTATATGTTAAGGGCATATTATCCCGAGTTTAGAGAACTACTAAGGGGAAGTAAAACACTTTGGTTGTTCCATTATTACATGTTGTAGTAGTCGTGTTTTTATGAAAATTAAGACATTTTAACAAACGTGATGGGGGGATTTTTTCATTTAAAAAAGATGGGATGACTTCACATTGTTTAGGATGCAGGGGTTGAGAAGCTATTAAGTATTGTGCTTCTATGACATTGGGAGATTTGTAAGATGGTTTTCAAAAGAACAATCAAAGTTAAACAGTGGAATCCGACAAATGCTTACTTTCACTCCCTTTGCATCAAACTAAACATATGCTGATGTTGAATTCCCATAAATCATCTGAACAGACCTGCCTGTTCAATGCTGTCCTCTTTTTAAGTCCATTAACCGATTTAAACACATGCGTTTTCTGTCAAATATTTAAGTTGGTGAGTCTCCTTCTCTAAATATACACACAAAAAGATAAAACCAGGAAATTCTGCAAATACCTCTTCATTGTAGCTTTATAGTACTTTATTTTGGAAATTATGCTTTATATTTGAGAGGGACAGTCTTAATACTCGGCCGGCCGATTCAACATGTTGAATCGGCCGGGTGTCGACCGTGAAAGGCCAAATAAGGCGTGTCACGGCCGAGGGTTCGGGATACACCAAATTGACTTTGGGCGACAAGGAACCCGTTGTCGCCAGACAACGCAAGACGGCCGAATACGGCCTGGTGTGTCAGGGCCTTAATGCTACGTGTTATTATGTCTATGTTTGCTTCCCCTGTCGCGATGATACTTATATGTCTGGAATCTGTGGAATCTCAGCTTGCTAATCGATATCTTGTTTGTGCAGATCCGATAAGTAATAAGGGTATTTTACCTTGAGTTCTGTGCTAATTGCGTCAGCATTTTTTCCCTCAGGGCTAATTCAGAGGCTTGGTATGACCCTTGTGTTTCGTTTAGCTAAACATGGTTAATATTGTCTGAAAGCTGAGTTTCTTCCCATTAAGTGAGTATGACACATTCATAGTTTATTAAATGTTAAGAAGCCCTCAGATGCTGTTTCTTGCTAGATGTTGCGTTTTGCCCCCGCCCGCGGGGCCGTGGGGTTTAAATGGTTGAAGATATAAAACATACATTTAAAAAAAATGTGAAGTAAAGATGACTCACCTGTCAGGAATCTTGAAGGCAAAAGGAAATACATGTCTCCCTTTACCAATAACTTCAGTGCCTGGAAGAGAATTACTTATTAGTACGTCTTTGCATTAGCTACAATGTACAACATATCAATGATTGTATTAATTTAACACGTTACCATCTTGTCTTGACTCTCTCAAGATATGATGTTTGATATCATAATATTTCTCATCAGCCCAGTACACATGATGTTGAT